TTTGGTCGAGAGATATACCTGATCACCTATTCGGAACCGGGTTGACATTCTACGGCCTTTATCTGCTTGTTCCTTGGCTGTTTGTCCCGCCTGTATCAGCGCTTTCTTTACTGTATGCCATACTTGGTTAGCACAGGACATCCAGTCCCCTGGCTTCTTGGCCAGGGATGCCAGTGATTCACAACCTGGTACGGGATTTAGATCGTAGCCATATACCACCTGAAAGGGGGTTAAGCCGGTACTTTTATGCACTGCATTGTTGTAAGCTAGTTCGGCAAAGGGTATATATTCCATCCAATCCGTCTGTTGATGAGAGACATAGCAATGTAGGTATCGTGACACTGCCGCATTGGCCCGTTCCGCTGCCCCGTTGGTACATGGATGGTATGCCGAGCTCAATCCTTGAGTAGTTCCAATACAGGCCAGAAATCGACGCCAGAATCGAGCTGTGAATTGAACCCCGCGGTCTGATATAACCCGTCGAGGAGCTCCATGTATACGATAAACGTGCTGTACAAATAGCTTCGCTAGTTGCGCTGCAGACGGCAGCCCCTTGCAGGGTATAAAATGGGCCTGTTTCGAAAACAAGTCTATCACCGTCCATATGACAGTGTAACCTTTTACATTAGGTAACTCCACCAGGAAGTCCATGCCAATGTCTTGCCATGGTCGTATCGGATCAGACACTGACTGTAACAATCCCATTGGCTTTTTAGGTATTACTTTCGCCTGGGCACAAACTTTACATTCCTTTACATATGTTTCAATGTCTTTTCTTAAACTTGGCCACCAAAATTGCCTTCTTGCTAGATGTAGCGTTTTCACAAAACCAAAGTGACCTGCTACTTTGGAATCATGACATTGATGGTATACCCGGTTGCGTACTCCCTGAGGTATATACAATTTATCGCCATACCAGGCCAAGCCATTACGATGGGTCAATATCCCTGGATTCGCTGATAGCCAAGGATCGGTCATTAAAGCTGCCTTTATTTCTTCTTCAAAGGTTGCTAACTTTGTACAAACTTCTGCTTTTTCGGACTCCCCATTACACTGAGGTATGACAGCCTGGATCACCTGTTCCCGTTTGCTGTCATATTGGGGCATTCGGGAGAGTGCGTCCGCTAGGAAGTTCTTTCCACCCGGAACAACTTTTAAATTGAATTTGAAGCGTTGAAAGTACTGCGCCCATCTGACGTGTTTAGGCGCTAATTTCCTTGGTGTTTGAAGCACTGTTAAGTTTTGATGATCTGTCCAGACCTCGAAGGGATGTTGAGCCCCTTCCAACAGATGGCGCCAAGTGGATAATGCCCATTTCACTGCAAATGCTTCTTTTTCCCACACCGCCCAGCGTCGTTCCGTTTCAGTGAATTTTTTGGACGTGTAGGCACACGGTTGTAGTATATTCTTCTCACTACGTTGCAATAGAATGGCACCAACGGCTACGTCGCTAGCGTCCGCTTGTACGATGAAGGGCTTGTCCGGGTCAGGATGTGCCAATAACGGCCCCTGCGCAAACAGGCTTTTTAATGTCTCAAAGGCCTGTTGGCAGGCCATAGTCCATTCCAGCGGTTGTTTTGGTCGGGGTTTACCAGTATTGTGTTTGGTACGTAACAACTGAGTCAATGGTAGGGCCACATCAGCAAAGGATGGTATAAACTGACGATAAAAATTAGCGAACCCCAGAAACTGCTGTAATTGGCAACGAGTCCTTGGGGCTTGCCATTCCAGTACACTGCGTATCTTATTGGGATCCATTTCTATTCCCATCGCCGAAACCCGGAATCCCAAGTAATCAATACGGTCTTTGTGGAATTCACATTTTGACACTTTACAGTATAGTTTGGAATCTAGTAATTTTTTCAACACCGTTCGAACTAATTGTATGTGGTCCTCCATTGTACTTGAGTATATAAGTATATCATCCAAGTATACAAGTACACCCCTATAAAGATGGTCATGCAAGACTTCGTTTATTAACTGCATGAACACAGCTGGGGCTCCCTGTAGACCAAAAGGCATCACCTTGAACTGATAACTCCCTAAGGGACAGTTAAAAGTGGTCTTCCACTCATCTCCTTCCCGTATTCGTATTCTATAATATGCCTCCCGAAGATCTAATTTTGTGAAAATCTTGCCAGTAGCCAAATGGGCAAGGAGGTCTTTCATGAGAGGCAACGGGTAAATGGGTTCTATACATACCGCGTTCAGTCCTCTGAAATCTACACATAGCCGCAGTCCTCCGTCCTTTTTTTATGGAATATTACGGGTGCTGCTATTTTAGAGCGAGCCGGCTCTATAAAACCCCTAGCCAGGTTTTTATCGATATACTCCCTCATTTCCTTTAGCTCAGTGAATGTCATGGGGTACATTCTGGGCTTAGGCAACTTTGCCCCGGGAATGAGTTCGATGGCGCAATCCGTTACCCTATGGGGTGGTAGAGTATCGCATTCATGTTCGCTAAAGACTGCTGCCAGGTCGTTGTAGACTGACGGGTATCCGGGTCCGTCCCCTTCCGGTATTGGGTCTACAGCACCCAGCCCTTTATCTCCATCGTAATCAGGTGCGGGTGGTGGCTGAGGACCCACGGGCAACCGCAATCGTCGAGACCCATCCTCCCACCAGATGATTGGAAGACCACTTTTAACTGTCCCTTAGGGCTTTCTCTTCAACTGAGCAACATAATAAAGTCTGAAACTCTGTTGAATCCTGCATCGTTCCTAATTCTTGGGATCCGTTGCCTATAGTTAGGACGAGCTTACATTAAGTCAGCCCTGGGATACCTCCCACTCCGGCGTATTAAATAAGCCCCGCCACCACACCCATAGTGTACGCCCCAATTACCAGTCACCACTCCACCCTCGCCACACCCTCATGTCTGTCAGACCCAGCATCCCGGTTAATTCAATTCAAGCGGTTAAGCAGTTAATTCAGCTCAATCCTCTTTAGACGCGCGTTGCATGTAGAATATCATTAACTGGGCGTCGGCAGCCTATCACAGTTGTTCCTCTAAAGCACGGCAGCCCAAATCCGTCTTTAGACGCGCGCCGCAGGCGAGACGTCATCAGCTGAGCGTCGGCATCTCTAGCGCCGCCCATCTGCCTCGCCGCATCGCCGAGCCTTCTCCGCAGCGTCGCCGCCTGCTTAGTCAAGGTTCTTTTACACTGGGTCTGACAATTTCAAAGTAGACATTTTCGTACATATTATTTTTGAAATAAAGAAGTATCCCAATATTTAGAAAAGTAAAAAGTTACAAACAAACGAAAACCCCACTTTTCACATGGTGTTTTCTAGAATAATATGAATCAGATCACTTCTCTTCTAAAGTTAATACAAAGGAAATCCTCAAACACGTCTTGTGTTTCTATATAATTATATACTAGATAATCATCTTAACTTTAATATTATCATAAAAATATTGAATTAATATGTCTCGCTATAGCTAGTGTTACTGATTAACTCTTAAAACAGTTTGCTCAGTCTCTTATGTATCTTTACTGATCTCTTATAATGAAGATGTTATAAGAAATCTTCACCGATTGTTCTATACTTCTTTAATAAATTGTGAAATTCTAAATATAACATAAATCAGGAAGTGGCTTCTATTAGTTGTGGTGGGTTCCAAAATTATTCTTGACAATAGATTAAACTATATAAAATTTTTAGTCTCAGTACATTGCTGATGTTCACAGCAATGTACAAATAAGCAAACTGATTAAAATTCTTTTTGTCAGATTATATTTTCGCAATTATTTAGTTCAAGTATCTACAGTGGATTTGTTCATATATGATATAAGAAAGGTAGTTAGTGGGAAATATTTTTTGGTGCTTCTGAAAATTTGAACTGCATTAGTTCTGTGTAAAGAAAATAGCAGAGGCAAACTCTAATATTTTCTTAGCTTTCTTTTGTGTATTGCAGTTGAAATAATTTGTAATTTATAGTTTCCTGCTTAAATTTGCCTTATTTGACTTTAGATGTTATTTAGTCACCGATTAAGTGCTTGAATCAAGTATCAACCATTATGAATTACTCTATATAATTGCATTTTAATTAAAAAATGTTCAATCAGATCTGTCAGTAACTTGAATATTAAGTAAATACATCGTTAATATTGTAATCACATTCTTATAAAAATGAATCCCCAGCAACAGTTTCATACTTTATCCTAAATTATTATACCATCTGTTGAACTATATTTAGGTAACTGCTGTTCTATGCTTTTAGTAATAAAGTTAATATCAAATAAAAAGTATAAGCCAAAACTATAACTATGTGAGAAACATTTTAAATATTGTGGTGGAAAACATATTTTGAGGTATTTGTTGGAACATACTTTGTTCCAACAAAAGAACTTTGTTCTTCTCTTTTGTATTGACCTTCAAATAAAATTTGTCTTGCTTTTGCTGAGCTTTGTATCATGTTGTTGCATGGTGAGTAGATGTCAGGTTGCATCCTGTATAAAGTTGTCTAGATGTATTTTGCTTAGTGAGAACTTGATATCATTTTAGCAAGAATTTTGTTTTAATGAAGAATAGAAATAGCAGCAAAAAAATGTTCAAGCATTTGAGTAGACAGGTTCTATATAAACCAGGCTTTTCCATTCTGAACTCATTCGGGCGTCTTAAAAATTCCAACTGCCATAGTTTTCATGTTGGCTTAGAATTCTAAAAGATATAGTCCAATATAGTTTGGAAGTCATGTTGGGGATGCTTACAAAACTAGCATTAGTAATCACTTTTGGTGCTAAAGTTCAGTGAAATGGTGCTTTGTAAGAAAAATTGAAATTTCCAATATTCTGTATATCATTACACATGTAGTGATATACAGAATACCACTATAACTCTTGTGAAATAGCTTAATGATAAACCAGATTAATACTTTAATTAATTAATTCCATATTTTTTTCACAGTGCATTCTTTTCTCACTTCCTTTGAAGTAGTTCACTAAAGTACTACTGGAACATATTACTAACTGTCTGTCCTTCCTTGAAATGAACAGAGAGACCCTGCAGCTGATGCTTCGATCTCTAAAAGTGCATTGTACTCACGGATAAGCAGCTCAGAGGGAGAAAATGCCTCCACTTTGCTTTATAAGCAGCAAGATCTGGATACCGCCTTAAGAGTTACCAGGGAAGAGGTAATGGCAATTTTAATCAAGGAAGCCCTGCCAGTTTATTGGTAGGCATATTACAAATGCAGTTGCTTTTTGAAGTTTGTTCTTCCAATTAATTCATTATGATAGGTTTGAATGAATTAATGATTTTCCAGTTACTGATCCATACTAGCATTGTGGGCTCTTTTTTTAAGAATCAATTCTCCCTCATCCATTAAACATAATTCAGTGAATGTGTTCCACATTTATCTTTTTTAGATTGCATGTTCCTTATCCATTAAGGAACCATGTATTATTTTATATAATAGTATATGTTAATAGTAGTTAACAGCAAGCAAGAATTCAGTATAGCAAAGTGGCCTTCTTGATTGGGCAAATTTGGTCCATGTCCTATCTATTTTTCATACTTATTTTCTGAGGAAACTCATGTATGGTTGGAATATTTATTATATAATCTCTGTTCAGCCTTTCTTTGTTTACCAAACAGAAGATTATGTAAGAGCATCATTTTGGTTTTTATTTATATATTTAGAACAGTTTGGTAAAATTTTGGCAAGACCTAGGTCAAAGTTTTTTTTCCGTAGAACTAATATAGTAAACAAATCAGGTATTTTTATAGTCTAGGTGTAGTTTTGTGTGTTTTAGAATATAGTTACATATTTAGGTAGAGCTTTAGGTAGTTATAATAAAATTCACATAAAGACACGAGTACAGCTAACAGGGTTTCTTAACTTGCAACTTCAAGACACGTGGACTTCAACTCCCAGAATTCCCTAGCCAAAGTGGCTGGAAATTCTGGGAGTTGAAGTTTATATGACTTAAAGTGGTCAAGCTTGAGAAACCCTGATGTACAACATCACTCAAAAAGTCTCTTCCTATGGATTCCAAAGCAATTTATTCTCTGCAATAAATTGTGATTTTTGAAGAAGTATAATTTGCTAATATTTGTGCCTTGTCTTAGCTTAACAAGAGGGGAAAATGCCAACCTATTTTGATTTTATGAAAGCGGCATCTGTAGCAAACAGTGGTGACATAGAAAAGACATGCACACGGTGATATAACATGTGCCACAATTATGTATTTGCATCCTGACACCTGACGCAAGTATGTAAGTCCCAGTGTTTGTGTGACAATATCATTGCACACGTTTCATCAGTTGCTCTCCTTGCCTTCCCTTTGAATGCCGTAATTATAATCTTGCTATACTTTTCTATCGATCCTTGGGATGTTATGTGGCAAAGTATTTTGTACTTTTTCAAGCTGATACAACTTTATTTCTTCTCTTCCTTAAAAGATAGTTGCGAAGGAAAGGATGATTTCAGAATGGAAAGAGAAATATGAAGACAGTAGGAGGGAAGTAATGGAAATGAGGTTTGTGTAATTTTGTATGAATCAATACTTTTAAAGTTTATGAGACAGTTAAAAATGTCTTATTTTTAAATCATACTGCAGATACCAGACTCTTCAAATTACCAAAAATAGGTCTGTTGAAAGAGGGTTCTTATTGAATAAAAAAACAGGATATAAATCAAATCAATCAATAAAATAGATTAAATAAATACATATTCTATCTCTTTCTGTTTGAAAATCCAACAACTTAACTTGAGGTATCTATCAATATCTTATAAAATTCAAATAAATAAAATTCAATTGTTTAAATAAGATTTAATCAGCTAGCCTTCTTGGGAGAACAAATTCAAAATAGGACATGTTTTTAAAGTTTAAAGCAATCCTTTTGAATTGTTGTTTTGTTTTGTGTCATGTTTAGGGCTATTTCATAGAATTGGAACAGTGCAATAGGTGTTTTTTTTCCCTCCATTTCAGCAATTCAGAATGTAATTGTTAATTAAATTAATAAATTAAATTCCAGCAGGTGGAAACTATCATCTTTCCCCTCTGCTACCACTTTCTGGCAAAATCAGTTTAAAATTTCATTAATAAGAAGGCACAAGTTAATACATAGAATGGCAGAACTATCTTTTACTGAAGAAACTGAGAAAACAAGTCTCAATGTGGAAGTCATAGTCTATATTTTATAGCATAATTATGGTTTTAACAGCATCATAGCTGTCTATGAATTAATCTTTTGATTTTAAAAAATGCCACACTGTAACAACTGTATTCTGTCATACATTTTGTAGCTAATTTGTAAGGTTTTAACAGAAGAGATGCCATTAGAAAAATCCATTTCTTGGATGCGTGTTCATTTTCATATCTTTTCATCTTTTAATAGGAAAATTGTTTCAGAGTATGAGAAGACAATTGCTCAAATGATAGGTAGGTATTTATCATGAAAAGAAAATATTTTGTTCTTATTCTGTTATAGGGAATATGCAGTAATAGAAAATTAGTGGTGCTATGAACAAAGATGATTTAAGAAACAGGTTTGGGAATCACAACGCATCTGCAGGTCCCTACATATGCCTGGAAGTCTTCTGTGAAATTACTATTATTTACTTATTTACGTAAGCCTGTTTCTTGCTTACAATATTTCTTTTGGAGTAAACCTGCTGTAATTCCTAGTTGTGTGTATGATTCAATTTAATGTAGAATGTCATCTCATCATACGTATTGTAACACTGTTCATAAAAAAAGTAAAGACAAGTAGATGCCAGGAAAAATATATTTATTTGACAGCAGTCAATGAATTAAACCTAAATATATTATAGTCATTGCTTTGATGACATATTTTTACCAAAACATTTAACATATATTGATATATAATATTTAGGCCTAAGAAACTGCAGAATTCTGAACATCATTGGCCTCTCAGAACAAATCATATTATGCCAAACGCTGTATTTTAATTAAATTATTAGTACTAAGAAGATATCAAAATATGATCATCAGTACAATTCTAATAAGTATAAAGCATTAAGCTTCATAAATATTTTTACGTCAAAATAAAATGTGGAAATATTTTAATTACTTAGGCTGCTGTTTTTTAGTATTACTATTTTAAAATTACTCTGTTGTATTATGTGTTGTTGAGAATTTTGTTTGGTAGGTTTCTGTGGAAGGCTTCATTTAGTAGAGTAGCACAAATGTTTTAAACATAAATAAAATGTTTAAAGAGTGTATAATATGGTTGAGTCAAAAGTAAATCAGAATCATGCAAAGTTAGGGGAAACATAATTTTGTCCAAATGTCTGGCTTTATATTTACATGACCCTTTCATTCAAAATTAGTATTTATTTTTATTCTGTAATTCCATATGTCTAGAATATATTCTGGTGAACAGTTTCCAATGTATAATATAGGTGATTTTTGCAAAAGAAATGCTGAATATGAGATAAAGATGCATAAATTTTGCTCATCCTTTGCATTTCAATTTGTGTATTAGTTTTCCCCCAGGTTAAGAAATAGGGAGAAACTTTGATTTTTTTTTAATTATAACATTTGAGATGTTAATCTTGCAAATTGTAAAGATTTCTTTTATAATTAATTTTTGGAGAAATGATACTAATTCTCCACTAGAGCATTTACATTAAATTGAGCCATCTCGACTTTAAAAAAATCACTTTAAATTAATCACACTACAGGGAAAGATTGAATTTATACTGCAGCTTTGTTTGTGTTACCTAGGCATAATTCCTCTTATGCAGACTAGGACAGACATGTCAAACACAAGGCCCGGGGGCCAGATGCGGCCTGTGAAGTGGTTTCATGTGGCCTGCGAAGCCATCCTGGAAACAGTGAGGGAGCGGCCCCCTCTGCCTTGGCCCTGGCCCAGGCCGGCCATGAGCCAATGTACAATTTTATGGTGGCCATCTATGCTGAAACACATTCAGTCTTAGCTCCTCAAGGCTGTCTGGAAACAGCAAGGAACCAGGAGCAGCAGCCTTGAGGAAGTGGGGCTGGGCTTGGTGCCACGGGTGCTCAAGGGCCAGGCTGGGCATTTGACCTCTGCTGCCCCCCCCCCCCGCATGGCCTGAGAGGAACAGTGAGGCTCCTCCAGTGGACCATGCCTTGGCACTTGCCCTGGTCCCACCCCCTTCTGCCAGAGACCCTCAGATCTGTCCCACTCCTTCCCAGGACCCCACAAGTACCCTTGATGCAAACGATGTAGAGCTGGCCACGCTCACCCAGTAGGCCATAGCCATCCTGGCCACACCCACCCGGCCTCCTGAGGTCAACCGCAATGCTGATGGAGCCCTCAATGAAATTGAGTTTGACACCCCTGGACTAGGATATATTTCCAATACAGCATACCAGTGCACTAATAGAGATTTATATGGTTTGGAAAAGATGCAAACCAAGATTACACCTTTATAAAGTTCACCTAGAGTAGATTGAGCTGCTCTGTGAAACAGCATTCATAGATGGTGGTAAAGTTCAGAAGCTTAGCTAGCTATCTGATCTATTACCTAATCAACTCCCTCATGAAGGGTCTTCTTTAGATGTAACATGTAGGAACTAAGCATGTGCAGACATTAAAACAATAGCTTATTGTTCTCTGATTTAATTTGCTGGGGAGTTGTGAAGAGTCTGTAGATTTGTCTGCAATAGTGGCAAATATCTGCAGCTCGTGTATAGGATGAGGGTGAAGGTTGGTTCTCTGAGCTTGAGGGTTGGTTTCCAAATGTTTCGTTACCAGGCTCAGTAACATCTTCAGTGGACTTTAGGGAATGTTTGTGTCAATGCTGTTCTGTTTATAAGGGCTTCAGATGTGGGTATGCCAAGTGAGGGTATTGTGATGGGTCAGGTGTGAGTCACCAGTAGGAGGCTTGTGATGGAGAGGTTACACCAGGTCAGGATTATTGGAAGGAGAACTGCTGATGGGAGGGGGCTTGCGTGACTTGGTTGAAGGTCGGTGCTGTCTCTGGTTGGCTGAGCGGTTGATTTGGATTCTGAGGGGTTCATAGGCTGGTTGTAGGTCAATGTGTCTATTGATGAAATTGCCAGGCGTCAATGAACTCACGAGCATGGCAGGTAGTAGCATAGCTGATGATTTTAGTGTTGTTCCAATTAAACTGGTGTTATTTGGTGTTGGTGTGGGTAGAGATTAAAGATTTGGGATCATGGTGTTTGACTGCCAGCCAGTGTTCATGGATCCTGGGTTTTAATTGACGTGAATGTTTGTCCCACGTAGAATTGGTTGCAATCATTACAGTTGATTTTGTAGATTACATTGTTTCTTTCATCCTTCTGTGTCCTGTCTTTGGTTCTGAATAATTCCTGACGGAGTGTGGCTGTGGGTTTGTGGGCTATTGTTATCCCTAGGGGTTTGAGAATTCTGTCATTTCCGACACCCCTTTTGTGTATGGCAGGGTTAGTTTTTGAGTAATGGTCGGCTGTGTGATATGTTGTGATTTGGGTGCTGTGTGTCAGAATCCAAAATTTTTTGGATAAGCCCTTAAAGAGAACGATGTCAAGCAGAATTTCTCTTCTGCTTTTCTTCTTTTAAAAAAAGTGTTTATCACTGTTAATTTTAGTTCAGTACGTGACTATTTGAGTCAGATCCTGGCGTCTGAGAATAGAAAAGGATAGCTCATGGAAATTAAAGATGTCCATAGTTGAGTGCGCCCTTAGTCAACATTTGCTGAAGGTGCCATCTCCCATTGATGCGAAGATTTGCCTTTTATATTGATTCAGAAGGAGGGTTTTTGGTATACTTGGCCGGTGCCTATTTAGCATCAGCCTAAAAGCTAGCTGTGACCTAGATATAAGAAATGTGATTTTGACTTTCCAGACAAGATTTGTATTGTTTGAGTCCTAATTCTATAGTGTCTTTAAGCTCTAGTGAAAAATTCAGAATTCGGCTAATCCCATCGTCTTCGAGAAGTTCAGTTTTAAATGCTTTAAATATTCCTGCACAAGAGTATTTTATATATTAACAGAAAAGGAAATAGAATGCTACATATGTGGTTATTTCTAACTAATCTTTATCCATGTGACTGTCCTATTTAGAAACATAGCAGGAACATCTGATATATGCAGAGAAAGTATACTGAAGTGTGCTGTATGATAAGTATTGGTATCTTGCAAGGGACATAATAAGAAAAAAATCTTATATTTACAGCTGGAGAGATCCTTCTGAGCACTTTATATATCTGAACTAAACTAATAGCTTTTTTAGTAAAAGCTGATTTGGGCCAGAGAGCTAAGAAAAAGGAGTTAAAGAAGTGCCCTAATGTATTGCTAAAATCAATGGCTCGAGTGCAAATGTAAAAAGGATTAACTCCTAAAGATATAATTAGGAGGCAGAAACTTGAACAGACTGAGTTTGTAGAGCTCCTGGTAATTCCTTGGCATGTACTTTTCAGGTAGCATCTGCCTTCATACAATTTTGTTTAAAATCCTCAATTTCATTTAGTTTATGCCTCTACTGCATGCTTGTCTCCATTAAAAAAGAGTTTATCAGAGAAAATATTGCCCATTGCATTCAGTTACAGATTATGTGAGTGCTTTTTGAACCATTTCAGTTGCACATGATGGCATTTTGTCAAGCTGAACTTTATGTACTGTACTGTATTTTTCAGTGAATTGTGTATCTACAGCTGCTGCCACCTTTTTGAACCATTCATTCATTCATTCATTCATTCATTTATTCATTCATTCATTCATATCTTCTATGAAAGCTGAAAGCAAACTCATCCACTTAAACTATTATGCTGCTTCCTTTTTCTTAGTTGAACTAAAAGGAATATTGTGCTTTGTGCATTACAGATTGTTGCCTCCCGGTTTTTTCTGCTTTCTTAATAAATCCCTTGACTTTTTTTTTCTGTTTTGCTTCCATTTTTGTTGCTTCTTGTTCTTTGCTTGCAAATCCAAAACAAAGGCAAGCCTGGTAAGTATTGCTTTTGCCAATTTTGGCACCTGCATATTGCATTTTTTAAACTTTTATTTTATTTTATTTTACTTTGGCATTTACTTTATGTATTTTCTCTGTATTCGGATGAATGAGCTCTACAGAAGCTCGTTCTGTATATCTACAGAGAATGTAGATATAAATCTTGTTATTTCTAACAGTAATACAAGTGTTATAATGACCAACAGATACTGCAAGCTTGGTGGATTTTTTTTTTATGGTGATATACATTGTTCCATTTCACTTCAGGAATAGGGTGCAGAAACAAATATTATTAATTGGCTATATTACAGTGGTTTTCCACAATACTTACAATGACAGTGGGGCATCATAAAAAATGTAATATGAAACTGTTTTCACTTGGACAGTATTGACTAGAAATTTACTATGGCCCATTGTTGGGCAGTGCTGGGTTAGAAGAAGCTGTTTGAAAAATATTTTCTTTCCCGTGTGGTTCAAATTATATAATAGCAACAAAACTCTTAATCGGTTTTAAGGATTTCATTCAAAGAATCCTGATCAGAATAACAGAGTTGGAAGGGATCTTGGAGATCTTCTAGTCCAACCCCTTCAAATCAAATAAATGTTTTATTATATGCAGAAAATGGGAGGGGATTGAGCTTTAAAAACATACTTCTATGAAAATATAATTCCAATTTCATTTCTGTTTTCATTTGAAAGTAACGTCTATGGAACTCAGTAGGATTGTCATTCAGATAAACACTTTGGATGAACCTATAAAGAATGCCATATTTACTTAATTTTAGGATTGTCTGCATTAGGCTGTTTCACTAATGTACTAGGACAGGGGTGGGGAACCTTGGGAGTTGAAATCCACAAGTCATAAAAGAGCCAAGGTTCCCCCACTTCTGTACTAAGGCAACATAGTTCTTTTGATTTGCAACCACCTTCACAACCCTTCTGCTATTATCAGAGCTGATTGAACTTCCACAAGACTGGAAAAAGAAAACAAGACCAAAAAAAAAATCACCCTCTTAATTATGTCCCCAGCAACCATTGACGTGTGGTTTACAACATATTACTCTTGTCTAGATGATGCCCTATTCTGTTTAGTATGCTGTGTGCAAATCAATACAGTAGCAATATCAATAGCACTTAGACTTATAAACTGCTTCACAGTGCTTTACAGCCTTCTCTAAGCAGTTTATAGAGTCAGCATATTGCCCACAACGACCTGGGTCCTCATTTTACCCACCTTGGAAGGATATAGAAGGATGAGTCAACTTTCAGCCAGTCAGGATCAAACTCCTGGCAGTTGGCAGAATTAGGTTGCAATATTGCATTCTAACCACTACACCGCCACGTCTCTGTGTACTTAGAATACTGTATATATTAGAACAGGGGTGTCAAACTGGCAATGTCACATGACATGTCATGACATATCGCAATTTTTTTTCCATTGCTGGCAATGGGGTGGGAGCGGTTTCGGCATGATGCATCCGGCCCGTGGGCCAGCAGTTTGACACCCTGCATTAGAAGAATGGCACATTCCGTTGATGCTGTACCTGAAAGATCAAATAATTCCATGTGCAGGTGCTTAGTATATTCATATTAAATTATAAACAAGTGGTAGTGACAAATTCTCTGTTGCTTTACTTATAAAACTACATCTAGCCAGATTTTCTTCTTTTCCACTTTTCCTCGGTCATTGAATTTTACAGCAGTCTAACAGAAATGTATCCATTCAAAGATATTCTGTTTTTCCATTCCTTCTTTCATCTTTTTCTTTCCATAGTTTTTATATTGTTGTGGGGTAAAAGATGTGCAGAATGACATATTAGAGTCATCTTTAGATCTAAGAATAAATGAGGAATAATTCACTGGCATTTTGAAAATATATTCAATTTATTAAACGAATAACCACTTTTTTATTACTAGTTTATAATATAAAATACAAAAGAAAATAGTAGGAAAATAAGCGAGAGAGTAGGGAAGGGAAAAATGTAGGGAAAGGGAGGAAAAGGAAAGAAAAGGCATTGACTTCCGGCTCTCTTTGGTGCAGTAAAATCAGATATTAACATCAACCTCAACTTTTTATTCTTACATAATAATATAAACTAGCCATTTCTATAACAACAAAACCATCTAATTGAATTGATGTTGCCAGTATAGGTAGCCCTTATTTAGTGATCACAATTGGGACTGGTAAATTCGATCATTTAACGAAGTGGTCACTAAATAAAACTGCAATTGCACTTATGATCTTAATTCATTTTTCCCTTGCTATACAGATCTGTGAAGGTTGTAAATGCAAGAAATGGTTATAAAGTTAGTTTCATCACTGAACAGTCACTGAATGAGGCTAAACAAAGACTTTCTGCAGCACTTAGTTGTTTTTATTGACAGAATTGTTCTCAGAGAAGCAGTAACAAAAGGAGTTGGTTCATCATCACGTTAAGACTGCCTTATGTTCTACTGCAATTATGCACATGCATCTAAAAATAACATACAACCAAAGCTGTTCAGAGTTCACATGCTGTGTAAGCTCTGATTTGCTACAGCTCTGAGAAAAGTAGACACTTGATACTAACTGTAATGTTGTAAAAAGTAGAGACCTTTTAAAGTGGAATGTCTGAAAAAATCTGGCACAACTTCAGATTTAAGGGAATTGCAGTCCCAAACACTGAAGGTGGATAAAACTGGATTACAATATTAGAAAACAGAGAAAAAGAGAGAGAATTATAGAAATACATAAATCTGTGCATGGTGGGGAGAAAGTGGAGAAGGAGAATTTCCCAGGTAGTGTTGCACCTTGTGAAATTGAGTAGTGGGAAATTCAGGAAAGGCCGAAGGCAAAATTTGCAGGGCTTATAGTTAAATTATAGAATCACTTTTACAAGATTACTAAGGGCCAAAGACACATACATGCTTAAAGATAAGAATCAAATAAATTAATGCAGAATCAATTAATTTTCTGTTTCCAGAAATCAGAATAGTATGTCCAATATGAATGGTGCCATCTGGCAGGATCCTTTTTAAGTTATTATAAATATTTGTATAGATTTGTCTGCTATTTTATTTAAGGAACATTTGATTTTAGAGGTTGAGGTGCCATTTTATAAAGTGAAATATATAGTTTCATATATTAAAGTGTTCACTTGAAATGATTCTAGGTTTTCCCAAACTAGTGGGAGGTTTTGGGTCAGTAAAAAGAACTTATTTTACATTGATTCACACTTTCTATTCTTGCTGAAACTATGCTGCATATTTATGGCGATGTGATTCCCATAAAGGAGCTTTTCTTTGTACTAAATACTTGATTCTTATTATTACTTCTAAAGGACAAGACGTTGGTTCCATTATCCTATTTAAATGTTTCAAGTGTTGTGATAAAATATTTATCCCATAATAAAACAATGTTTTAAATGCTTAACAGATTTATCAGACAAATTTTCCACTCGTTCTACTTTGTATGATCTCATTTTCATGCTTTAATTTAATTTTAAGTTTTAAAACTATTCTTTATTTTTTGAGCCTTTTAATCGTTATCTCCTATAGAGGATGAGCAGAGAGAAAAATCCATGTCCCATCACACTGTCCAGCAACTTATTATGGAAAAAGAGCAAGCATTAGCTGACCTGAACTCTGTGGAAAAATCTCTAGCAGATCTTTTCAGAAGATATGAAAAAATGAAAGAAGTTCTTGAAGGATTTAGGAAGGTAAGTCACAGTGAATAATGCTTTCATCAAAACACCTACATTCACTCCGGTGAATGTATAGGTCTGGAGTTATGGCTGCATTTTTGTATTCATTTCACTAGGGGTCCTGATTTCCACATCCACCAGCAGGCTTTTGGCTGAAGATCAGGTCCTTGCACTCAGGGGTTTGGGGATAAGAATTCTTGGATGTGCCAATTCTCAAGCTTCCTTTCCATCCTCAGTGCTTCTTCTGACAGAACACTTTTAACCCGTTTGTTAGGTCTTTATATAGCAACCATCATTAATCTAATAACCTGAGACACATCAGCCTGAAAGTGCTGCCACTTAGCTCTAGCAGAAGGAGATAACTGCCAAGAAACTTGTTATACGTGGTTATGCATATTGCAAGAATATGTGTAAACAGTTTGTGGTAATCCTTTGAGTTCAAAGAAGTCACTGTTGTGCAATATATCTGTGAGCATGGAGATGGCTCTGCAGTTCTAGTCTGGAAACACAGAGCCTAGCACAGGGGTCCCCAACCTTTCGCCACTTTGTGACTTGTAGACAGCCATGCTGGCTGAGGAATTCTGGGAGTTGAAGTCCACAAATCATAAAGTGGCCAAAGTTGGGGACCCCTGGCCTAGCACAATGGGGACACTGAAAGTACATTGTTATCATAGCTGTGGTGGGGTCAAGATTATACATTATTCCCTGATTTGTGCAAAATGTATAGCTTGAACTAATTTTCCCTTAACTGATTTTTTATTATTATTCATTCACTGTATTTTAAAAGCAATTTTGTACTTGGTCAAAAATCTGAAGCAACCGTTTTCTGTAGACATTGGACTTTGCAGAAAAGGGATTCTTACACTGCTTGAGCTTCATATGCCATGCATGGCCTGTAGAATTCATACAGAGATGGCTGCTTAGTATTTATATTTTTGTGTCCCTTATTTTAAGGAAATCTACTGCTTTTATGTTTGTTTTCAATAAAATTATCTACTACCTAAAATTGTAGAGTATGGTCAAAAGCCTACAACTTTCAGTGAATCCCTTATTGTCTGTGGTTAAGCTATTTTTATGTTTCCCATTAAAGAATGAAGAAGTATTAAAGAAATGCGCACAAGAATATTTATCACGAGTTAAAAAAGAAGAGCAGAGATATCAAGCCCTCAAGGTTCATGCAGAGGAAAAACTGGACAGGTATTTTATTAGGACTTGGGAGGTATCCTGAATTTCAACCAAGAGCTTCTGTTCTGAAGTCTGTTATAAATTAATTCTGGAGTTTTCTTTTTCCATCTGATTCTTGTCAGCACTTACATATAATTTTGATCTGATTCCTATAAAATGTATTCGATCACTCCTTAAGGTTCCCCTCCATTTTTATAGGCACCCCCCTCTAGTTTTTAAAACATTCAGGAAAGGTTCAATTAAGCACCAAATATCAAATCTTACATAATACAGTATAATGTAAATGTGCAAAGCTGGTATACCAGTATGCTTTTTATAAACATATACCAAATCTTGCCAAGAAAGCTTCAGGAACGAGTCTGGCCAGTTGCCAGGAGTCAACACTGACATGAATGCATGAGAGAGAGGGAGAGGGGGGGAGCGAGAGAGAGGTTCCTTGGGGCTCAATACACCTGTGTTTCTGCAGAGCCAATGCTGAAATCGCACAAGTTCGGGGAAAGGCTCAGCAAGAACAAGCAGCTTACCAAGCCAGCCTTCGTAAAGAGCAGTTAAAAGTGGATGCATTGGAAAGAACACTGGAACAAAAGGTGACTAGCTCTGACCTGTACAAAGCTGCTTATAGAGGAAATACGGTGGTAGTTGCTCCCTAAGCTTATGTAGCAGTTTACTTTAATAATGTAAAACAGTCAAATCTTTTTTACCTGTCAAATGCTATCCTTAAAAACTTCAAGAATTCTTTAAATTGCTTTTGTGGTGGTGCTGGTGGCTTTGCCTCAACAATTCGGTATTATCCCATTTATTGATCAAATTCATTGGCCACCCATCTTTCCACAGGGTAACTCTGGGCGGAGTTGTCTATGGGTGGTTGCTACTTGTCTATGGAGGTGGTGTAGTAGCATCAGAGAGAGCAGAGGTTAGATTTCACCGTGTGTTTGGGCATTCAAGGGTTGGGTAGACTTAGTATTTTACTGTTTATTGGGGCTGTGTAGCACTTCATGTTTGAGCTCCAAAAACATTGGAATGGGAGGTAGTGTTAATAGAACGTGTCTCTACAGTGCTTTAAACAGCTGGGTCTTTTCCCATAGTCAGCACAGCAAAAGTTTCAAAGCACTGTAGGCAGGCAGCATGTTTGCACTCCTTCCCATACAAAAGCCTGTTGGAGATCAACACTAAAAGCACTGCATCATCATACTATTTATCTGCTTTTAATGAAACAAGTACTCACTCCAGCCTTAATTCATGGATGGGTGACTGTAGCTTAGTGCATTAAAAAGTTGTCCCATTGGAAGTATGTTGATTTAAAAATGGTTGCTGTATGATCCACCAATGTGCCCAATTGAGCACAGACAAACAGACATGAGCGCTTTAGATTCTGGGAGTGTGCTGGGAATTGAAAGCCTTTTAAAGTTGCTGAGGTTGAAACACCTCTGGCTTAGCCTATTGTTAGGAGAAATCTGGCTTCTACCAGGCAGTTATTTATCCTTTTAAAATGATTTGACTCTAAGAAAAGTTTTAGGCATAAGAAAGAAAGCTTTCCTGAAAATTCCCACAGTGATAAGATTAAGCAAAATGATTGGTATAAGCAGAACTGAATGCTGCTAATGATTCAGCAATAATTGCAGACAGATATTGCTCTTTCCCCAGCATGTACTATATTCTTAATGGCTACAAATGTTATTTTGATAATTGAAAAAGAGTGCAATATAGCTTTTAACTAAAATATGTTTATTCTTTCTTCCTGTGCATGTGTGTTCCTTTCAGAATAAAGAAATAGAAGAGTTGACGAAGATTTGTGATGAACTGATTGCCAAAATGGGGAAAAGCTAACTTTTAACCAAAACCTAAATTACAGTCTTGAGTGCAATATGACCATTGGCACAGTGATATCCAGGCAGTGATGTGAATGGATTCTATTTTCACTTTTTGTATGCACTACTGTATTTTTTCTTAATAATGTTGATTTGATTGTATGCAGTACTAAGACTATCAGAAATCCTTGCTATTGTCTGCAATTCTTTCCTTTGTATAATTCATAGCAAGTTGATCTCAAAAGTTCCTGTATCAGGGAGATTTGTCGAGTTCTTTAATAAATTACAGTTGCTCATCCTAGCCTTCCCTTTGTACATGAGTTCCCATGTTGGATGTCTTTTTTGGATTTAATATAAATGTGTATTACATGCATGGGGACTCTTGCCTTAAGGAGTGTAAATTTGATCTGCATTTTCTGATTTGTAAAATAAAATGGAAACTTGAAAAATTAAGGTACTTGCCTCTGTGATACGTACCATAAATAATTTTTCCCTTCCAATTTGAAAAGGGATTTCATATTATTAACTAAATCTGATATTCAGTAGCATCAGCTTTTTATATACTATTCTGTTATTTCGTTGGTTTATTTCTCAGAACATCAATACAGCCAGGATGCTATAGAGATCATACAGGTATACTGTGTACAAAATTCCCAAGAGAAGATTATTGTCAAGCCCCTGGGCTTGACACTAACCGGCGGGGGAAAGGGAAAGAGCAACCAGCAGCCAGCCGACAGTGCGCCGACCCCGCATGCTGCCCAACCACCGAGGACCAGCTGGGAATTGGCACAGTCGCCGTCCATCACGGCCTCCTCCCCCTACAACCGGGTGCCGGGGGAGTCCTGAGCGTCAGGGAGTCCCGAAACCCGGCTAGGCATCAACGGCGAGTCAGCCAGATGCCAGAGGGGCTGCCTCGCACCACGGCCGCCTCTCCCTTCTCCTCGGAGTTCCCGGAAGCCAGCTGGGAGGTGGAGGCAATCAGATGGGCGTCGGGGGAGGCCGTCTCTCACCGCAGCCGCCTTTCCTGTGTTGCCGGCAGACGGGGGAGGAGCTGCCTCCCGGAGGAACTGTCTGTCAGGGGAGAACTCCGGTTGCTGCGCAGACATGCTTCCCGGGGGGAGCTGTCTGCTGTGGAGCCATGCTGGCGGCGGGGGAGGAGCAGGACAATGACCGGCTGTTGATCATGCGGAGGCCATGTGGCTGCACTGATGCCTTCAGAAGGGAGAGGCCGGACTTTGGGCTATGGCTTTAACCTGCGCAGACCGGATGCTGGCTTGCTGATTGGAGGGGGGTTGGAGGGCAGGGCACACCTATGTAAAGCACTGGGAGCAAATCACTCCCACTGCTGACTTTCATTTAGCACGCATTAAATTCTTGCTGGTCACGTTCCTGTGTTTTGAAGTTTGTTGGCAGCAGACAGAGGACAATTGACAATTATAAGTTATATATTTTTAAAAAATCTATTAGTATAAAATATGTGACTTTTCTTCTGAATGCTTGTTCAAATGATGCTAGGGCCTATAGCCCTAGCCCTGGAAATATTTGACTTTAAAGGATCCTGTGCTTTTTAAAGTGTTTTGACATGAGTTTGCTGACAAGCTCGGCTTCAGCTATAAACTTGACAGATGTTCCTTGTATGAGGTAAAGTTTTGCCTCAGAATATCTACAGCAGGGATATTATCCTCCAGTAACAGCTGAAGTGTAAAGGGTCCATGAAGGATAGCAAACAGTCTATCCATTGACATGGGAGAAGGCATCTAAAAGTGCACACCCTAAAAATCATAATACATTTGTCAGTAATAGCAGAAAATATGAATGTGACAATGATAAGGACATGGTAACAGGTAAAAGTGGAAAGTATGAGTTAAAAAGAACATTGTTGTCCCACAATAAGCAAGACTCAGGAGTTTGCACAGAATGACTGGATTCTATATTATTGTTTTCATATTGTGTTTTTGTTGTTAACTATATTGTGAATTGCCCACAGTTGTTTTGGAACTAAATCTTGGTAAATTGAAATAAATGCTTTTTTACAGGGAGACATTTTCTGAGCAACAAGGTTACTTAGTGTAGTGATTAATTCAACCGTACTCCAGAATACTTCACATGAAGTATTAATACCACTTTAAAATGCCTTGGTAAGGCCACACTTGGAATACTGCATCCAGTTTTGGTCACCACGATGTAAAAAAGATGCTGAGACTCTAGAAAGGGTACAGAAAAGAGCAACAAAGATGATTGGGGGACTGGAGGCTAAAACATATAATGAATGGTTGCTGGAATTAGGTATGTCTAGTTTAACGAAGAGAAGGACGAGGGGGGACATGATAGCAGTGTTCCAATATCTCAGGGGCTGCCACAAAGAAGAGGGAATCAAGCTATTCTCCAAAGTGCCTAAAAGCAGGACAAAAAGCAACGGATGGAAATTAATCAAGGAGAGAAGCAACCTAGAACTAAGGAGAAACTTCCTGACAATTAGAACAATTAACCAGTGGAACAACCTGCCTCCAGAAGCGGTAAATGCTCCAACCCTGGAAATTTTTAAAAAGACTGGACAGCCATTTGTCCAAAATGGTGTAGGGTTTCCTGCTTGAGCAGGGGATTGGACTAGATGATCTCCAAGGTCCCAACTTTATCATCATCATCATCATCATCATCATTATTATTATTGATGAATATCAGATCTATTTTGATGCTAAAATTCTAGAAAGCAACAGATTTGAAATTTACTGAAACAAGGGATACTTCAGCTATGAGCTGCATCTGGGCATAAACTGAATCTGAGCAACCAGAACATCTACTAATCAGAGGTAGGATGAATCTGGTTCACATGTCTCCATAAAAGGAGCAGTGAAATAGAACATGTTCTGTAGTTTCTACCTCTCTGGAATCATAGAAGGGAGAGCCTGGCATCAGGTAAGATAGAAAGCTTTCCAACTGCTGGGTGCTTCTAGCTGTGTAAGGTAGCTGGCAGCAGTGACAATATATGTGTACCTGGTCACAGGAAAGCTGGGGTCTTCCCTAGATTCACTTGTCTCTCTGTATCCTTTAACTTTTGCTTTAGTATTTGTTTCACCTGATCATATCCCATTAGATTTCACCTAATCTTTTAAATGTAGGCTAGACTGCCTCCTCAGTTCTTGAGGGGGGAGAGCAGCCTAGATTTAAAGGATTAGATTCAACAGCCTTGATCCATGTGGATTGGAAATTGTCCTGAAGAATTAATGGTGTTAAGACTTGAAGATAAAAGTTGAGCTTTAACCAAAGATTTATAGAAGCTAGGCACACTCTTGACTCAACTTTGATCACACCTGTTTCCAATCGTTTAATATACAGCATGGAATCTGGAGAGCTGTTCTGATGAATTTGGATAGTACCGTCTTCAGACAGTTGAAACACGAGGCTGGGGGGGGGGGGCAACCAGAGTCCATAAAAGAACTGGACTAGCAGCTTAGCTGAAAGAGCTTAAGTACCACTAGAACATAATGTCCTTTCTTGGATTGGAAAAATTTAAGAATGGGAGGATGACTAGTAGCAGTTGGTCATTCACAGTAGATTTTCCTTGAGCCAGTGGCATGCAGGTCTATTCTTAAATACTTAAAAGCTAGTCACTTGTTCTATTTTGTGGTCATTAATGTTCCATAAACAAAGTTTCAACCTTTTGGCAAAAATCATAATCTTGGTTTTATGATAATTTATTTCCAGATTATTAGTGTTGCAGTATTGGACCAGATCTCATTTAAGGCCAATTAGGGTCCTGGAAAGAACTACAGTGTTGTCTATGATGAGCAGCAGAGCTATGCTGTGATTCCTCTAGTTTACGGGGATGGAAATTTGGGTTGTTTAGACCAAGGCTTTTCAACCGGTGGTATGCATACCACTGGTGGTACATTGGCACATGGCAGGTGGTACGCATCCCTGCCTAGCCTAGCCAAGTGTAGCGGGGGAGGGAACAAGCCAAAGCAGCGCGATGCAGGACTTGCCCTGAGAAGAGAGTCCTCAGGAGCTGCAGGGCTGCTCAGGTGAGACAAAGGCACCAGAATTGGCACGTCCGGCATACCCGGAAGAAAAAGGAGGAGGAGGGCGGAGACAGAAAAGAATATAAAAGGAGGCAGTTTTGGCGGGAGAAGAAAAAAAAGACACCAGAGAAAGGAGTCAGAAGTGAAAGGGCTTTTGTCAGAGAAGCAGTGAGAGAGAGAGAGAGACAGGAAAGACTTTTGGGGAGGTGTGTGTGTGTGAGAGAGAGAGAGAGAGAGACAGAGAGAAAAGGCTTTTGGGGGGAACTATGTGAAAGGCAGAGAGGAAAGGCTTTTGGGGAGGGATGTGTATGTGTGTGTGAGAGAGAGAGAATGGGGGGGGGGCTTTTGAGAGGGTGAGAAAGAGAGGAAAGGGAGGGAAGAAGGGCTGACCAGCCACCTGACCATCAAGGTAGTGGTGCATATTAATAAATATACAGAAATTCATCATACATTTGTCAGTATAAAGGGAAAGTGATTCAGCAATGGAACTGCCACAGAAGAAATTAAAACCGTGGCTTTTTGTCCTTTTTTTGTTTTATTTTATTAGATTATAGAATAAAATACAAAAAATAAAATACAAAAGCAAATAGTAGGACACAATGGGGAGGGAAAAGGAGGAAAAAGTGAGAGGGAGAAGGGAAAAAGAAAAGAAAAGGTTTTTATTTCCAACTTCCTCTGTTACAGTACAAGGAAGCATTAACATTGAACCTCAACTTTTTACTTTTCCATAATATTATAAACTGGCCATTTCTGTAACAACCAATGAATCTTCCTAGTAAAACCCCAAATCCCCCCCCCCTTTTTAAGTCATCAAGTTTTTGACACCTTGCTAAGCACTGGTGGTATTCAAATATTGTCATGTCCTAAAAGTGGTACAATCTGTGAAAAGGTTGAAAAGCCCTGGTTTAGATATCACAGCACATCACCGATACAAAAACTGAAAAGTGGGGGGAGGGGAGCAAAATCCCTGTTTTGTCTCCTCCTGAGCTTTAACTGGCTTTAAGAGAAACTTTTGTATATTGCAACTGATCTTAAAAGTTGTATTAAGGTTTGGCTTGAATTAACTGAGGAATCCTATAGTTGATCCATGCGTCTTACAACTTCTCCCATAATTTGATCTTGGATACGTGGTTTACAACTGGAATGCTCATTCTTACTAGAGTGGAATATATGTGAGCTTAATACTCGGTCTACAATAAAGTAGTAAAATAGATGATGAATTCAACAGCTAATTTTGTCACAATAGCTTTACATTTAGTAGAAAATGGACAGGAACATTTCTGACTTCTCATATATTGGCTGAGCTATTAGAATTGGGTAAATACTGAATACCTAGTTTGTACTGAATACAAACTAAGAATATTGTATTTAATCTGAAAACATTTATGTATATAGTCCCATGAAATGCTAATTAGTATTCCATTGTTTTTAGGG